AAAAAAAAATTTTTCCCTCTCCCAACCAAAAAAAACTTTTTTAAAACCCAAAAATTCCCATGGCTTTAAAAAAAAAAAAAAAAAAAAAGCGTAACCTAAAACTTTAGATAACTGTAGAAAATTTGTAATTTTAAAAGAACCACAATTTTATTTCTGTTTAGAATTTAAAATAAAGATAAACAGGATTTAGCAAAAAGGACTGTTCTTCTTTTTTATTCTGTGGAACAGATAAATATGTAAAAAATAAATAAATAAAAAAGCACATAGATACCAACCTAACAACAAGAAAATCAGATCTAAAAACATATTACTAATACTTTGTATAATTCTTTGTGAAAATTCAATGCAAGTATTGCAGAAATGTAATGGAAAACTGTTTAAAAACTGCATTTGTTATTATATCTAAATGTAAAACTATCAACTGGTTAGTTTTAATTTTTATCCTGTGTTATTAAGAAGCCATATGGAGGGGTCAAAGAGCTACTTGTGGCTCCGGAGCCGTAGGTTGTACACCCTGCTCTTCATAATGCTCCATAGATTCTCTACTGGGTTTTGCTCAGTTCAAGTTCACTGACCAATTAAGCACAGTGACATCACAGTCACTAAGCCTGGTGTTGGTACTTTCGGGAGTCTGTTCAGATGTCAAATCCTGTTGGAAAATGAATCCAGCATCTCCATAAAGCTTGCTAGCGGCATAAATGAAGTGCTCTAAATGTCCGGTTCTTTGGACTTGATAGAACTGGACCAACACCAGCAGATGACATGGATTTCCTTATTCATCGCTGACTGTAGAAACTTCACATTGCAAAATTTATACCTCTACACTCTCTCACCAGGCTGTGAGACTTTGATTCCCAGATGAAATAGAAAAAAAATATATTGTCAACTGAATTTTTTCTCCTTTTTCCTGCAGAGCCGCTCTGATTAGGAGTGCAACCAGCGATTATTTTAGTTGTCAAATATTCTATCGATTTTTCTAAGCCCCCCCCCTCCCTTGTAAAGGATATAAGCAAGCAAATAATTCAATTCCCTTTGTAAATAAGAAAAAAAACATTAACAATTCATCTCTTAATTAATTAGCTAATGACTCTTTCAGTAATGGAATCATCAGTTAATTATTTCAACTGCACTTCTGGTAAAGTCGATGATTGAGGTGTGGCTGTTCACAAGCTTGTAGCCTTTAATCGTTTCAGGCACAGATCATGATTTGTGATGTTCAATCAAACCCTTGATAGCTGCTCTCTCCTTTATTTCATGTCTTTTTTCTACAACAGATTTTTGTTTTGCTCAACTTCCATTGATATTTCTGAGCACAGTGACTGTGCTGATTTTTTTCCCCTATGGTTTCATTGCCCATAATGTAATCTTTATGACATTTTTTTATGTGTTCAATTTAATATTCTTTGTTTCAGAGAAACTGAGTTTAGAGTTGAGTCACCAAAATTAGCTGAAATAAACGCTCGAGGTTTGCCGCTGAGTGTAATGGATCCGTTTCCTGTCGAGTTTCAGTTTGAATCAAATTCCTAAACTGCAACAACGTTTTGTTGTTTTGTTGACAATCTAAATTCCTCTGTTCTCCGTTTTTTTGTTTGTTTTGTTTGTTTGTTTTTTAAGATCGAGGAGCTGAAGAACGAGAACGCGTTGCTCCGGGCGCAGCTCCAGCAGCACGGCATCGAGACGGTCGGAGAGACGCCGCCGCAATAACGGAGACGAACGCAACGGGGGAGGAGCACCGACCACTTAAAACATGTCACCGATGCTGTAGGGGAGGGAGAGAAAAAGAGCAGACGCGACGATTGGAAAAAGACTCGTTGGAGAATCACTTTGTCTTTAGTGATTGCCTCCTTCTCCAGCTTCCGGGTCACGAACCCTTCACCAGCCATTTGTGGCTGCACTCGACTGTTCCAGTCCTCTCGAGATAACCACCCGTTGCAGCTCAGTAGAAGTGTACTCCAAGAAAACATGTCCTCTCTCCTCCGTCGGAGTGCTGCACCAGCACTAGCTATGAAACAGAACCTCTGCTGAACTTATCCTGTGATTAGTATTTATGTAGCCTCACCAATGGACTATGGGTTTTGTTATCTGAGTTTGTTTCTTGTGAGTTCCCGTTTTTCTCGCCATTCTTAATTTTGTCATAGTTCCTGCTTTCACCCTGTTTGTGGTTTCGAGTTCTGTATTAATAAGTTGTTTTTAGCTCGTATAATTTATTAGTCTGCTTGCTGACAGAAGACTTGACGGAGACCAGTTACGGTGAAAATCATGCACGATTCCCCTCCCCCCCCACACCCCCTCCCCCCCAGACGAGCGGGCTGAATTTTAAAAGCGAGAAAACATCAAAAGTTTGCAAAACAGGATTCTGAAAGACGAGAATAATGTGGCACACACATTTTTACCTACATCCAAAGACAAACGAGGAGCCGTGCGAGCCGATGCCTCCGGGCAGATTTATGTAAAATACGACTTCTCATGTTTTAATACAGATGTTACAGAATGTTAGAGCGGATTATTTCTGGGAGTCAACAATCAATAACTCATTAACTCCATGCTGGCCCTCCGTCATACTTATTACCATGAAGTGTGTGCAATCTTGAAGCTTGATTTGAGGTTAAAAAAAAAAGGAAAGAAAAAAAAAAAGAGCGGGGTATACTTGAAATGTTGGGCATTTGCTTGATTGAAGAAAGTCAAAACAAATCACTTGTAAAGTTCCGATTGTTTAAATTGTATTTAAGTAAAAAAAAGAGAAAAAAAAATGTACAAGAGCAGAACAAGCAGACGATTTCCAACTGAGCACTTTGGACTGTTAGCTGGAGAGCAATGCAGTACAAGCCTTTGCCAAACCACATTCAGGTACCGCAGATTTATTTTTACTTTTTGTTCACATATGATTAAGCTGCGTCTCAGAATGTGCAGGAATGTTTCCCCATTTGCTTTATTGCAAGATGTTTGCACCTATTTTGGTGGTGCAACTCTTCAGATGGAGCTCAACGTGCAGAGAGCGAAGCACCCTGGAGAGCAGCGCTCAAAGACTCTGCTTACTACGAAGAAAGCGTGCAGAGAAATCGTGTTGCACTTTTTTAGCCGAGCACGATTTGTTCTCCAGGAAAAAAACGAGAACAATTCAGATGGAAACTCCCCATTTTCTGAACCGTAGGAAAATCTAACTGGTTGTACCAGTGATTCAAGTCAATATTAACACTGTTGACAAGTTTTTTTTTTTTGTTGTTTTAATGAATTTACATGATGTGTTTTTTTTTGTTTTTTTTTCTTGCTTGCGGCAGTAGGAATAAAAATGGGGGAACAAAGCTACGAGTTGGAGCGGCTCATTAAAGCTCGGTCGCTTCTCCCCTTTATCAACATCTCAGGATCCAGCAATGCAAAACCAATACTGAAACCTTTGGCAAAATCATGCAGGCTACCACGTTTAAATATCCAAGACTCTGTAAGTTAACAGCTTGTGATCTAAAAGTGCTATTCTGCTACAACTACTATACTCAAATCCAATAGATCCTGTGCAGGTGGCTCATCTAAGCAGCGGGGCTCTCAGCCAAAGTTGAGTGACGGATGTGCAGTAGGAATTTAAAATTTTTTTACGTCTTTTATTTTTACACCTCAGTCAGAGGAGAGCGGAGAATGTAAAGAACTAAATATTTGCTTTAGTAGGTGGATCTTCACAAATGAGAGGTCATTTGTGTGCGATTTCTTTAGATTTTTCTTTGCCGTTCTTTTTTTTTTTTTCTTTGACATGAAATAAAAATAGCAAAAGAAAGCAAGCTCCCTTTGTGTAGCAGCCTCACTGTTCTCAGGTTAGAGACATCTTTTCTAAATAAAATGGTGGAAAATAAAACTTTCACTTGCTGATAGCCTTGATTGGCTGTGGTTCATTGTCCTTGCTCAGCCTTTAGAGAGACACATTATAATGTGTTATTTCTGTTGTGAATCTGAGGTTGACTTTCTTATGTTGCCAGGCTGTTAATTAGCACCAGAGATGAAAAAATGTTATATTTTGGGTGGGTTAGGAGATAATTTAATTAATTTTCTCACAACTCTGCAACTGCAAGTCTTTAGAAATTTTATTTATTCGAATTTAGTTTCAAGGGTGGTGCTGAATAAAGTGAATTATAATTAAAAGAGCTTAAAGCCGTATTCTGATTTGTTTCGACAAATCAGCTGTTAAAAAAAAAAAAAAAAAATTGTTCATGCACTTTTATGTCTTCCATCTCCCCACGAGATGAAACTTTATCCATCAATGGGATCATTTAAAAATGTGATCTCAATGGCTTTCATATTAAGCCCTAATTTAAAGACCGCAGGGATTTCTTAATGGCCTCTGGGACATTTACTGCAGCTGTAACAGTTCTGTAACTTCTCCAAAATCTATTAGAATTTATAGACTGAGTAATTGGTCATCCACTGAAAAACCGAGTCTACCCTCTGCAAAGCTCGGTTGCAGTTTCTTGCACATGTTTTCATAACCAAACTTTATCACCTTTTATAAACACAAATAAGAATTACTGGGATTTTACGTATGGACATCACTGAACGCTGAAGGATAAGCCTACTGACATTTATTTAAAAAATTTTAGAAGCGTAAATCCGTAGAACCATATTTCATTGCAGTTGCAGCTGTAAGTTGTTCTGAGTATGAATTAACTTTGCACATGCTTCTGAATTTAACAGAGATCCTCTTTGAACATATGAATGAGTTTTGATCTAAAAATATAAAATGCTTGGATCAAAACCTATTCCTCCTTTGCCTCAAGTCTCAAGTTAAAACATGTCTGTAGAACGTTGAAATTTGCAGTTGTATGGCAACGTGGGAAAAAGCTCAACAGGCACGAATACTTCTGTAAAACAATGAAAGCACATCCATATTGCAGGCATTTTGACATGTGATGCCTTCAAAAAAGCAAGTTTTTTTTTTCTCCCTCGGGAGAAAGATTGCTTTTCAGATTAATTTTATTTAACCAACACATTACCAGGGTTGTCAGTGTTGTCATTGGATTTGAACCGTAATTTTCAGTATAGTTTGTCTTGTTCGAGGACATAAAACAGTTTAAATGAACTAATCACTGGTTAGATGCGTGACTTATTCAAGGTTTGTAAATCTAATCCAGACTAACAAATGTGATATTTCTGAACACCGTTTTCTAAAAGAAAGTGGCCTCCTCCTGTTAAACTGTTCAACGGGAAATAAACCGTCACATAATTTAGAGATCAGTCAATGACAAATTGACTGAAGTCAGATTTCATTTCTCCATTCTACTGAGTTATGAAACATTTCAGTTTCTCAGCAGTGGCTTGACCTTTTTATAAACTTTTTTTTTTTAGGGTTAGCCACTGTTGGATGTACATCTTTTTTTTTTTCCTGCTCTTTACTTTTTTTCCACTACCTTTAAACATACACAGCCAACCAGGCCGGCGTCTGTGTGTCGCCGGGTCTGTTTGAAGTGGATGATCTCTGATCCTATGTACTTCCCTGATTGGGACACGCATGCGCTCCGTCTCGCTCACTCTCGTCTTTCACCGCAAACTCAAAACAAAAAAGAAAAAAAAAATAGATGACTTTGAATAAACTTGGTTGGGAATGTTAAATTAAACGCCATGCGAACAGCGTCATTTCCCAAATATAATATGAGGCAAGTACTAGGGAATGTGACCTTCACCCCTCGGTTCTGATAATGCACTTACAATTAATTGACATATTAATTGAAAGAGGAAAGCTTTGAGCTATGAATTGCTATTGCTGAAATTAATTTTAATTGGATTTAATGCGGAGGTCAGTGGTGATAATGTGCCTGGAGAAGGAACCAAAACTGTTGCAGCGAGTGCTCTGTGAAGGTCTATATGTGTTTGTATAAAAGCATATCTTTCCAAGTGCATGGTTGACTGATTCCTATTGAAGTCACACTGGCCAAAATATTCTACTGTAAAAGGCACAATTTTATGCCCTGCGGGCTTTTTTCTTACCTTTGTGCTTCCTTAGCAACAGGAGCGTGCTGTCGAGAGGGGCGTACTGACTGCTGCCTCAGACCGGTTCACATTTCTTTCTCTCCAAAGTATTTTTTTTCTGGAAAAGGCTACAAATCCTTTTCAATCAAGTCTTGTATACATTTATTTTCTGTTTTACCTCACCTTGAATTTATATCATTAGCATCAGCAGCAAAAAACAAATGGGAAGTGAAAACTCCTCAGTTTTTTGAGGGTTTTAAATAAATGTCAATGTGCATTTTACAAAATATGTGCCAACGTGCACAAGCCATGTGAATGCTTCAGAATAAAGAATCTGGCCTTTGATTAGACCGATTCTTTTGATCAAAAGAATTTCAAATCATCTCTACATTAACATGTTTTTTTTTTTGTTTAAGTTTACTGATTTGAAGCATTGAAGCTAAATGTTAAAGATAATCACAGTAGCCTCACAAAAAAGGCAGCAAATGTAAAAGTGTGTTGCTGTGAGAGAACATTGCTCTAAAACAAGAAACTTAAAGAAGGTGTTAAAACAGATCCAGAGGATTTCCAAAGCGACGTCCAAACAACAAAGGAACAAAGCGGAAATGACAAACTTAGTTGCCACTGTATTAGGTATACCTATCTCTTCAATTGCCAATAAGTTCATTTATTAGTTTATATATTATAACGATGAGCGTTAAACGAATACAAGCTTCAAAAAGTGCTGCAAAAGTAATCTGCAATACTTGTTCCTAGCTTGACTTTCACAATCACAGTGCAGCAGCCCGATGCATTCAGGCATCCATATAAGTGAAAAAGACTTAAGTTTAAACTGAATGGAGAAGAAAGCAGATTTAACTGACTTTGACTTTTGGTGCCAGAGGGTTTGCTATGAGTATTTAAGAAAAAAGCTCATCCATTGGGATTTTCCAAGTCAGCCATCTCCAAAAAAAGAGAAAATACCCAGTTGTGTGGAAGAATACAGGCAGACCGGTTTGAATTGATGGAATGCCAAAAAAAAAAAAAAAAAGCTTGAATAACCACTTGTTACAATCGGGGTATGCAGGACATCCCTGGACTAAAAACACAACTGATTGACCCCTGAAACATCTGCACTACAGCAGCAGAAAGCCGCACTGGGTGCCACTTTTATCAGCTAAGTACATGAAACTTAGACTCTGGTTCACTCAGTCTTACCCTTGTAATTTTGTCAGTGTAACATAACATGCTCTATTGTCTCATCAACTCCACAGTATTCACACTTACCATTGCAATGTCTCACCAAATTAAAAAGAGTGCTACTTAGCCCAGTATGCCTAAATCTGAGACCAGAAATTATTGTCTCTTTTCTCCTCCTCCTCCCTGCGCTTCTCCATTTTTTGGGGAGGTGGGTGGGGGGATTTTATGGAAACAACCTGCTGTCCTTTCTTTTTCCCATTACTTTTCCTATTTCTCATTCATGTTCTGTTTTATTAAAATTTCTATTTCTTTTTTACTAAAGCCGATAACTAAATCCGCTAATGTGTTTCCAGTGGCCTCTTTGCAGCCCCTTCTGTCATTTAATTCCCTTTAACACCATAATACGCTGGTACCTATAAAAAGTGAATCATCAGGCCCATCATACTTATTCTGCATAGAGTTTGTTGAATTTCTATTAAGATATCTGCTCCACTTTCGGTTGCATTGTAAGCTAATGTTAAACTGGGTTCTGGACAAACTTCTGATTCACTCTGGATGGTTTAGATTTTTCCTGACTTTAACACACCTGATTTAGATGACTGCAGTTCAG